CAGCCTCCCGAGTAGCTGGCATTATAGTCACCCGCCACTAAGCCCAGCTAATTTTTGTATTTTTAATAAAGATGGGGTTTTGCCACTTTGGCCAGGCTGGTCTCGAACTCCTGACCTCAGGTGATCTGCCTGTCTCAGCCTCCCAAGGTGCTAGGATTACAGGCTTAAGCCACCACTCCCGACATGATTTAACCTTTTAACACACATTCATTTCATTCAACACATGCTCATTAAGTCTTTTTTTGTTCCAGGCACTGTGCTAGAAGATGTATAGTTTCTGTGTTCCAGAAGTTTACAGTTGGATGGACGCGGTGGTTCACGCCTGTAATCTCAGCACTTTGGGAGGCTAAAGCAGGTGGATCGTCTGAGGTCAGGAGTTCAAGACCAGCCTGGCCAACATGGTGAAAACCTATCTCTCTCTGTCAAAAATACAAAAATTAGCTGGACATGGTGGCAGGCGCCTGCAATCCCAGCTACTTGGGAGGCTGAGGCAGGAGAATCACTTGAACCTGGGAGGCAGAGTTTGCAGTGAGCCGAGATCGTGTCATTGCACTCCAGCCTGGATGACAAGAGCAAAATGTCATTATAGTTTAAAGCAGGGTGTGGTGGCTCACACCTGTAATCCTAGAACTTTGGGAGTCTGAGGCGGGTGGATCACCTGAGGTCAGGAGTTTGAGACCAGCCTGGCCAACATGGTGAAACCCTGTCTCTACAAAAAATGCAGAAATTAGCTGGGTGTGGTGATATGTGCCTGTAATCTCGGCTATTTGGGTGGCTGAGGCACAAGAATTGCTTAAACCTGGGAGGCGGAAGTTGCAGTGCGCCGAGATTGCACCATTGCACTCCAGCCTGGGTGACAGAGCAAGACTGTCAAGAAAGAAGGAAGGAAGGAGGGAAGGAAGGAAGGAAAGAGAGAGAGAAAAAAAGAAAAAGAGAGAAAGAGAGAAAGAAAGAAAGAAAGAAAAGTTTGTGGTTTAGAGGACAAGATGGACAATGAACCATAATGCCGTAAATATATATAACAAGGGGATCTACTTTAATTAAGGGACCAAGAAAGACCTTTTCTTTCAGTGATATTTAAATGAACTCTGATGGATGAGTTGGAATTAGCCAGGCAAAGAGAAGAAGGGAGGGAGGAATTCTAACAAGAAAAAAACAGCCCGTGCAAAGGCCCTGAAGAGCAGAGAGCACATTGTTTAAGGATGTGAGAGAAAGTCACATGGCGGAAGTACAGAAAACTAAGGAAAGAGAGGTGCCTTTTGGCCGGAACCGCCATCTTCCAGTAATTCGCCAAAATGACGAACACAAAGGGAAAGAGGAGAGGCACTCGATACATGTTCTGTAGGCCTTTTAGAAAACACGGAGTTGTTCCTTTGACCACGTATATGCGAATCTGTAAGAAAGGTGATATTGCAGACATCAAGGGAATGGGTACTGTTCAAAAAGGAATGCCCCACAAATGTTATCATGGCAAAACTGGGAGGGTCTACAATGTTACCCAGCATGCTGTTGGCATTGTTGTGAACAAACAAGTTCAGGGCAAGATTCTTGCCAAGAGAATTAATGTGCATATTGAGCACATCAAGCACTCTAAGAGCCGAGATAGCTTCCTAAAACGTGTGAAGGAAAATGATCAGAAAAAGAAAGAAGCCCAAGAGAAAGGTACCTGGGTCCAACTGAAGTGCCAGCCTGCTCCACCCAGAGAAACACACTTTGTGAGGACCAATGGGAAGGAGCCTGAGCTGCTGGAACCTATTCCCTATGAATTCATGGCATAATAGGTGTTTTTTAAAAAAAATAAAAGACCTCTGGACTGTTTAAAAAAAAAAATAGAGAGAGAGGTGACATGAGCAGGGATCAGATCACATAGAAGCTTTGGCTGTTTCTTTTCCCCCCACCCAGTACGAGGAAAGGACCAGTTGCAGTAAAATCCCTTGGAGTGGTCAGGTGTAGTGCCTCACTCCTGTAATCCCAGCATTTTGAAGGGCTAAGGTGGGCAGATCCCTTGAGCCCAGCAGTATGAGACTAGCCTGGGAAACACAGGGAAACTGCATCTCTACAAAAAATACAAAAATTAGCCAGGTGTGGTGGCATACACCTGTGGTCCCAGCTACTTGGAGGCTGAGGTGGGAGGATCGCTGGAGCCTGGGAAATTGAGGCTGCAGTGAGCGGTGATGGTGCCACTGCACTCCAGCCTGAGTGACCAGGTGAGACCCTGCCTAAAATAATAATAATAATAAAAATTTTAGCTGGATGTAGTGGCGTGCACCTGTAGTGCTACCTACTTGGGAGGCTGAGGTGGGAGGATCAGTCGAGACCAGGAGTTCAAGGTTACAGCGAGCTATGATCATGCCACTGCACTAAAGCCTGGGAGACACGATGAGACTCTGTCTCAAAATAAATAAGTAGGACAAAAAAGTAAAGAGAAACATTCTAGTATTTATTCTTCTAGGCTTTTTTGGTTTCCTTTTTTTTTTTTTTAGAGATGGGGCCTCTCTATGTTGCCCAGGCTGGCCTTGAACTCCTGGGGTCAATGGATCCTCCCTTTTCAGCCTTCCAAGTAGGTATGGCTACAGGTGTGTGCCACCCCATGCCACCATGTCTGATCTGGTCAGGCTTTTTTTTTTTTTTTTTTTTGAGACAGGATCTTACTTTGTTACCCAGGCTGGAGTGCAGAGGTGTGCTCTTTTTTTTTTTTTAAGACGGGGTTTCACCATGCTGGTCAGGCTGGTCTTGAACTCCCGACCTCAGGTGATCTGCCCGCCTTGGCCTCCAAAGTGCTTGGATTACAGGTGTGAGCCACCACGCCTGGCCCCAGAGGTGTGTTCTTAGCTCACTTCTCTGGCTCAAGCTATCCTCCAACCTTGGCCCCCAAAGTGAGCACAGGTCAGGGCTCTGGCCAGGCTTTTTTTTTTTGAGGGGGGTGGGGCTGGAGTCTCGCTCTGTTGCCCAGACTGGATTGCAGTGGTGTGATCTTGGCTCACTGCAACCTCCGCCTCCCAGGTTCAAGAGATTCTCCTGCCTCAGCCTCCTCCGTAGCCGGAACTACAGGTGCCCAATACCACACCCGGCTAATTTTGGTATTTTTAGTAGAGATGGGGTTTTCCACATTGGCCAGGCTCATCTCGAACTCCTGACCTTGTGATCCACCCGCCTTGACCTCCCAAAGTGCTAGGATTACAGGCGTGAGCCAGTGTACCTGCTGGCCAGGCTTTTTGATATACACCTACACTCAGGCATAATGAATCTAGTTTGTTGTTGTTTATAATAATGGAACAATTCAGTTCCATTATTATAAATTGAGTCCTGACTTTCAAGAAAACAGTATATCACAGGCATCTTTTCAGGTCTGTATAGACCTATAATTTTTTTTTTTTTCTTTTTTAAAATAGAGATAGTGTCTCAGCATGTTGCCCAGGCTGGTCTTGAACTCCTCAGCTCAAGCAATCCACCCACCTCGGCCTCCCAAGTGCTGAGATTGATGACAGGCATGAGCCAATGCGCCTGGCCCCTATAAAACTTTTTTTTTTTTTTTTTTTGAGATGGAGTTTCACTCATGCTACCCAGGCTGGAGTGCAATGGGACGATCTCGGCTCACCGCAACCTCCGCCTCCTGGGTTCAGGCAATTCTTCTGCCTCAGCCTCCTGAGTAGCTGGGATTACAGGCACGCGCCACCACGCCCAGCTAATGTTTTGTATTTTTAGTAGAGACGGGGTTTCACCATGTTGACCAGGATGGTCTCGATCTCTTGACCTTGTGATCCACCCGCCTCGGCCTCCCAAAGTGCTGGGATTACAGGCTTGAGCCACCGCGCCCAGCAAAACTTTTTTTTTTGAGACAGAGTTTCATTCTGTCGCCCAGGCTGGAGTGTAATGGTGTGATCTTGGCTCACTGCAACCTCCGCCTCCCGGGTTCAAGCGATTCTCCTGCCTCCACCTCCCGAGTAGCTGGGATTACAGGGAGGCACCACCACGCCCGGTTAATTTTTGTATTTTTAGTAGAGATGGGGTTTTACCATGTTGGCCTTTACCATGTTGGCCAGGCTGGTTTTGAACCCCTGACTTCACGTGATCCACCCTCCTTGGCCTCCCAAGGTACTGGGATTACAGGCGTGAGCCACCATGCTCGGGCCCCTGTAAAACTTTTAATATCTGGATAATATTTTACTGAAAGGATGTTCCCTGTTTTGTTTGCCAATTCCCTATTGATGGATATTTAGGTTGTTTTCAACTTTTCACATCATTACAATCTCTTTCATGTTCATTTTTTAGCATAACAACGTTTATTTATTTGGAATAAATTTTTGTGAGTGGAATTGCTGGGTCGTTGACAAATTGTCTAGGTCTAATTAAACATGTTCACACCGTGTACCAAGGAGAGGTGTAGCGAGCATGGCACTGAAGTCAGGGAAGTCTTTCCGGCTCCTGCCCTTTTGAAGGCCCTATAGTTCAGCCATATACCCAGGTCTTTCCCAGGCTTTTCTTTCCCTAGCACGGATGCAGTGTGTGCGGTCAGAGCTGGCGAGTTCGAGACCGGTCCGAACCATCCACCCCCAGCCAGGCCCCGCTGCAGCGGCTGCGGTGGCCCTCCCAGCCCCTGGGAATCCATCCCCAGTTCCCCTCCCCGACCGCGGGAGGGCGTGTTAGGGGAGCAGCTTAGGCAGGCAACGATTGCACCATCCACGGTTTGAAAAGGAAGTCTGGGAAGTACAGGGAGGAAACTTGCACAACCCAAAGGTTGAGCCCCAGCATTCATACTCTGTCCCTGCAGTGCTCCTTCCACTTCTACTTGCTGGGCTCCGATCCCTTCCCTTCTACCCCGTCTCTGCCCAACCCTGTGCTGGCCACTGGCCCTTTAAGGAGCTGTCACGCTGGCGTCGCTGGCCCCGCCCGCGACGGGGAGGGCCGAGAGGCAGGGGAGGGGTTGGTGGTGGCTGCGGGGAGGTGACGGGGTGGGGGGGGCCTGGGTCTATTTTTAGCTCCGGGTCGGGTCACGTGACGGGAGTGACGTCTCCGAATGTTGTTGTTGGTGGCGGCGGCGAGCGGAGCCGGAGGAGCCGCCGCAAAGATGGAGGAGCCGTCGAGGAGGCGCTGCCGCCGCTGCCGCCGCCGCTGCTGCCGCCGCCGCCCGCGAAGCCGGAGCTCGAGCCGCAGCGGGTGAGCGCGCCGCCCCGTCCCAGATCCCATCTCCCCCTGTCCCCGGGACGCGAAGCGGTGCCCCCTCCTCCTGTCGTCCCTGTCCCCGGGCTCCCCGCGCTCGCGCCGCGCTCCGCGGCCCCCATCCTTCCTCCCGGGCCCGGGTGCCAGCCGGCGCCCCCCGGGAGCATCGCCAGCCCGGAGTGGGGCATCGGGGCTGCTGTGCGCGCCCCTCCCTGCCCCTCCCAGAATGGGGCGCCTTCCCTGCAGGTGAGGGAGGGGCCCGGCTTCCCGCGCCCCGCGCCCCCAAATGGCTCGGAGACCGACCTGGGTTGTCTGATTTGCCCCTATCCTGGCGGCGCATGTTGCGTCGCTGAGCCGTTTGAGCCCTGCACCCGGATTCTGTGCAGACCCCTCTTCGCTGGACACCCTTTTCTTGGTACTCTGAGGTGAAGGGTGCTGCCCACCCACAGCGCTTCTCCCCACAGCTAGGAACGCATCCTTGATTTTATGCCCTTGACTTTCGTGCATGAGGAGGGGGAATGCAGAGTCCACCTTACCTCTCTCCCATTATTCTCACCCCCTCTCCTGTGAGGCGTTACTGCGTTTGTTCCCACCCTCTTCTCCTGTCTGACACCCTGGAGCAGGATGTGAGAACTAGGAGATGAAATGGAGCTCCCCCCCACTCCTTGTCTGGGGTGGATGCCCCGATTTTTCATCCCGGGTCTGTATCTCATGGAGGCGGGGGCACTACCGGTGCCTTGTTAACTTGGGGTAGTCAGCTTCTCCACCCCACCCTTCTCTGGGGCCCTGGGGAAGATGAGAACTGGCTGGGTGATAAGTAATTAATCTGGGAGCCTGGGGGGGGGGCTGTTGGAGTGGGGAGGTTGGGTGATTCCTTTGGGATAGATGACCACCTGATACCCCTGACTGATACCCTTTCTGAGATGAGGTGTGTCCCTAAAAGGAAAGGAAACAGCTGCAGTTGCTTTTAGGAGGGTGCAGAGGGACCCATCACTCTGTCAGTGACCACCATGCTTTTGGGACCTGGAATTAGGTTTGGAGCTTGGAGAAGTGGTGGTGATTGGGTTCAGCGTCCAACTGCGAGGGGAGGATAGAGCCATATTATGGGAACAAAAGGAGGTGGGGGGGAGGGCAAGATCCAGGAATCTTGGTCAGAGGGACCCCTGGCCAGGTTGCCTTGCAAGATTGCAGCCTGGCTCTGGGTCCTGCCTTCTGCCTCCTCTTAGGTTCAGAGGATGTAGGCAGGCAGGGATGCTCTTCAGTCTGCCAAGTCCTAGGCACCCTGAGCCTGTGCTGGCTGTTGAGAGGCTTTGCTGGGCTGGATGGTGGGTGAGCCATGTTGGGGGGCTGCCTGCTTCTTCATTCCAGTCTTCCCTCCTTCCTCTCCCTCCCTAAACGCAGAGCTTGGGGAGATCTTGGTTTTCCTCCTTCCTTTTTTCTTGACTTCTCTCTTTGCCCTCTTTTCATTTGAACTTGGATCTGGGCTTTCTTGACAAGGCAGTAAGGGTCTCTCTGAGTAAGAGAAATGGGCCCCCAGCATCTCCACTGTGTCATGGGAATGTGCGCATGCCAGGGACCAGAGAAACTGATCTCAGGTGCAGGTTACTTGGGGGCAAGGATGGAGGAGATGTTCTGTGCCATCCTCCCCTTCTTCCCCAATATATCCTCCTACTTTGGCTGGATCATGTAATTTGGAGGGCAGCAGTTTCACGTGCCCCACCCACCCCAAGTAGCTGCAGAGACAAAGGTTTGCTTTTCCTTCCCTAGGGGTGGCATCTTAACTGTATGTTTAGAAATGGGGCCTGGGAATGTTGCGGGCTGGGGGGTCATTTGTGTTCCCGCATAGTGGGGGAGGGGGGATCAGCTATAGGAACTGGGGGTAGCGCAGTCGGTGCTGAAGTACCAGCTGCTCTTTAATAATTAATTCTTCCTACTCACATCCCTTTGAGGAGGGATGTCTGGAACACGGCATCGGGCTCAGCCAGCCTGCTAGAGGACTCACTCCTGTTGGTGGTGGTGGGGGGGAGGGGGAGACAGCAAGGGGGGGTTGGTTCTTGGCATTTTGGAGCACTGTAGCTTGCTTATGAATGAAAACCTGATGCAGCCTGTGAGGGGGCCTATTGTAGCTGACTTTAGCTAATTAAACTTTCTCTGCCTTTCTTCTTTCTCATCCCATCTCACCCCAAGCCCAGCTCCAGCCCTTTCTTGAATGGGGACCCTGTCTGGTAGTGCTGGGAAGAGGGTATCGTTCTGCCTGAGGTTTTAGGGCAAACAGACCCCGTCTTCTGCCCTCTGCCTCCGCCTCCTCCCTTCCTCCCCTCTCACCACCCCCCCCTTTTTTTTCTAGAAATAGCAGCCTCCTCCATCTGGCTTGTGCAGATGCCTGGAGCTGTGTCTGAGCAGACAAACAGAAATGGGCCGATTGCAAAAATGAATTTGTCAGGCTGGTGCCTTTTTTCCTCCCCTGTCACCCTCCCCCTTTCCCTGGTTTGGGGCCTGGACATCCAAGTCAGCCACTGTTCATGGCTCCGATTCTTCCGGCCTTCTGTTGGCCTATCCTGGGGGAAGCACCAGGCAACAGAAGCTCTCGGAGGCTGAGGATAGAGGTAGGCTGTGGCCTGGTCAGGAGGGTCAAGATGACAAGTCCCTAGTGGCTTTGAGTGGGATGTCGTGGCTTGTAACATTTTTTTTTTTTTTTTGAGACGGAGTTTTGCTCTTGTTGCCCAGGCTGGTGTGCAATGGCATGATCTTGGCTCACGGCAACCTCTGCCTCCCAGGTTCAAGTGATTCTCCTGCCTCAGCCTCCTGAGTAGCTGGTATTATAGGCATGCGCCACCATGCCTGGCTAATTTTATATATTTTTTAGTAGAGATGGGGTTTCTCTATGTTGATCAGGCTGGTCTCAAACTCCTGACCTCAGGTGATCCGCCTGCCTCGGCCTCCCAAGATGCTGGGATTATAGGCGTGAGCCACCGAGCCTGGCCGGCTTGTAACTTTTTGATAAGTTGTTGGCGTAGAGTGAAACAGTCTCAGACTCCCAAGACTTGGTTCACACTGCTTGACCCTATCACCTATGACCCAGGGGGTGCCGTGGCCTGGATGTTCTGGCCCTGCCAGGTGTTTTGGGAGGGGGTTTCATGGTGGTACTGGAGTCTAGATTCCAGAGAGGGTCTCCAAGGGACACCTGATTCCCCAGGAATTCCGAGGGAGTTGTTCGAGGAACCAGATCTCTACGGGGCAGCATTGTGAAGCTGTGGCCTTTGTAGCATTGCATTGTACCATGTGTCCCTCACTTGTCTGCCTTCCTCTTCCCACCCTCTGCCAGAGCTTTTATTGCTTATGAATGGGGTGGGGGGTGTCTCCCTAGGATTTCTGCCCTACCTCCCCCAGTTCAGTCATGAGCTTGTAGGGTGAGATACAGCCCGCTTCCTTCATTCATCCTTGCCCGGCTGTCTTGGCTGGAGGTAGGAGGTGGTTTGGGACCCCTAGGGTAGGAGTCTATCTGCAAGAAAGAGTGGGTGTGAGTTTGTGGGGCAGGACCCTCAGGGTGGCCAGGGATCTGCCTACTTATGGTGTTTTGGAAGCTGGGCCGCTTCCTGGTTTGGCATCCAAGTGTTAGGTCATCTGGGACATAGCTCCTGGTCCCTGACTGCCCACTGAGACCCAGCGAATTTCTCTGGCAGATGTGGGAACAAACAGCTCAGGTTTTAAACATCAGGCACCCCTTCTCCCCTTCATGCCCCACCCTAGACAAGAATCTGTGCTTGTCCGGATCAGGCCAAGCCGTAAACACTGCTTTGTTTCTCAGGGAGGCCCAGCCTGTGGCTCTGGTTCTCTTGAGAGATTGATGGGGGTGTTGGCAGACACTCTTTACAGGTGGACGAGGCCCAGGGATCCTGCTGAATTTTATAGGATGGGGAGGAGTAGATAGAGCTGAGTCCTTAGCCTACCATGAGTTCAAGGAGCCGCTCCCTTCCTCTTCTGCCTCAGGGGTGAGAATCAGTACCTTTGAGACCCAGAGGAAGAGTGGTTGGGTTAGGATGATGGGGGCTTCGGGCTGAGCTGAAGTGGTTTCGGTACCGCTGGGGCTCTGCCCCTTAGCACCTTGCTGTGGAGGTGCCTCTCACCATGGAGATGCCTCTCACTGTGGAGATTGGCTGGGCTACTCAGGCTGCTGGGAATCGTGGGAATTTCTGAACCTGTGTTCCCCAGCCCACGGGAAAGGGTGTGAGCGGGACTGGGCGCCAGCCCTGGTGTGGGCACAGGCTGAACTGTCTGCCCACGTGGGCCCTGCCAGGGCACCAGCAGCCCTACCTGCCACATTCCTGAGCTTGGCCCCAGCCCTGTGCAGCCTTTTTTGTCCTTATCCCACACCTGTGCTTGTCAGGAGCAATTTAGCCGCTTCAGCTCTGCCCCCCAAACTGAGTGCGCTTTTCACCAGCCATAGTGTCCAAGCCCTGTGGGCAAGAGCAGACAGCAGCAAGCCTAGGACCTCGAGGTCTTGCGTGCGCGCGCGCGTGTGTGTGTGTGTCTGTCTGTCTGTCTGTTCATGTTCTTGTGTTTCTGCCATAGCTGGCTTCTGGGCTCCAAATGGACCCCACCCTTGGGAATCTGATGAGAATGCAAGGCTTACTGAGAATTAATCCTGCCAGGAGGTGGGGCTGTCTAGGGGGCAGAGCTGATTGCTGGTTCGAGGCTTGGGAAGCAGAGTTAGAGCTTAAATATCTGGCAGCTCACAGCCTCCTCTGATGGCTTCCTGCTACCTTGCTTTCATTGGGTATTGGAGGGCCTGCCTTCATTTGGAAGCAAATGAATGAGATCATGTCTGGGGTGGATCGTGGGCTGTTTAGGGATGGGCCAGGTGGCTGTGTGCATAGTGTCTGAGGCTTGAGGACTAACTGTGGAGCTGGGGCGGGGGAAGGCTGGAGGAGTGGGCATGGGTTGGCAAAGCCATGATCTTGTAATACCTTCTCCTTTACTATATTGGCCTCAGCAGGGCTACTGCTGGGCCTTTTGTTCCTTTTGTACAAACTGGGAAAAACTGTCCCTTGTTTTGGGTGGACTTAGCATGTCAGGCGATGGCTTGGCAGGCAGGGCACAGGCCGGATTTCATACCTCCCTGGACCAGCCCTCCTTACACAGAGCACTACCTGTACAAGATACACAAAGTCCTGGGCTGAGGCCCTGCACCTGCCGGGACCCGGGTACTCGATTTGGGGTGGAGAGGCCTCTGACTTTTTCACTTCCTGGAAACAGGAGATCTTGTCCTGGTCTGTTGTTGAATGGGGGAGACCAGAACAGAAACATATCGTATTTCCAGAGTTAAGAGGCACAAGGATCAGAAAGTGGGGAGAAGACTCCCCTAGGAGTCCCGGCTTAGGCTCCAGAGGCTGGGATACCAGTTTCTCCCTTAACTTCTGCCAGAGACTCCAGATCAGCCCTGCATCTCCCCGCTGCTGTGGATAGAGGCCAGAAGCCCCCCTGCACTTTCTCCTCTGGTGCACACCTAGTCCCATGGCAGGCACCATTAGGAATCTATAGGGTCTCCCCACCTGGCGGTAGACACCTGAAAAGGGGTGTGTTGGGTGTGGCCACCATAGCCATTTCCTATCCCTTGGGCTCTGGGAGCCTCATCAGTTAGTAGGAAACCAGGGTCTCTCCAGTTCCGCAGACTTCCACCGTGGCTGTGGGCAGGTATCCCTCCCTCTCATCCCTCTCATTCCTCTCATCCCCAGGTATAAACTGACAAGCTCCATGGTCTCCTTCAGCTCTCAGATTCCTGAGTTAGGGGCCTCTAACCCTGCTCCATCTCTCCCCAGGGATGCCGTTCTGAGTGCCTGACTGCCTCGCCCCGAAGGATGGCCTCGGATGGGCATTAGAGGCACGGCGGCCCCGGGCTCCCGTCCCGTCCGTCTGTCTGTTATCGTCTGTCTCTCTTGACATCACCGCAGCTCCACCCCCTCCCGTCCCAGCCCCCAACGCCAGCTTCCTGCGGGCCCAGAGCCGGCATGAACTCTCCCAACGAGTCGGGTAAGAGCTGGGAGGTTGGAGAAGAGCACCCTGGGGTAGCTTTGGATGCGATGGGCTGTGTGGGTTTCCCGTCCAGGCCAGCTGACCTTTCTCTCTGAGCTGTAAGGGAATCGGGGTCAGGAGTGAAGAAGTGTTGCAGGAAAGGCCCATGAGGGAGACCTGGGAAACGAGGGGTCAACGGTCTGGCCGGGTCCTGGGAAGGCATGGGTCCTACTCTGCCCCCGATGCTTGCCCTCCCAACTTAGGGGTACTCTGTTCTGGCTCCACCTTGTTCTGCTAGCCAAGACAGGTGGGCCTGAGGGGGTATGTGTGTCCCTGGATCTCTCTGGGCGGTCTGGGATGATGTTGGAGGAATTTCTTTACTGTAGCAGAATGCCCAGCTTCCTTTTTGTGATGGCGGCTTCTTTCCTTGGTGGAATGTTTGTGTTCCATACTTTTTTCTTAGTGGAGGTTTCTAAGGGCACTGGGCCTTAACCTCCGTGTGTGGGTGTTTGGCGTTGGGTGGGAGCAGGGTCATGTGTGTAGAGGAGTCTTGGCTCTCCTTGGAGGTAGACTGCCTCTCTTGGGCCCTGCACATGGTGGATTCCTAATCTGGGGTCTTTTACTCTGAGATTTCCTGTTCCTCTCTGCTCCTAGGACCCTGTCCAGTGCTACCAGAAATAGTCTATTGGGGGGACTCCAGGCAGCTTTATGTGCAGCTGGGTCTGGATGTGTGCCTGTGAGGCTGTGTTCTGGTGGCCTGAGCTGGACCCTCAGCTGTTTCCAGGGAGGGTCCTGGGGCAGTGTGGTCAGAGTAATGGCTGCTGTCTCCTTGGCTGTCTCCGTCCGCAGTGTTAAAGGTCCATCTTGCTCAACTTCAGCCCTCCACGGCCCATCCTACTCCCCATCTTTTTATGCAGGGACGGGTGGATGTTTCTCCTTTTAGAGATAAGGGCAATTAGGGCCTAGGATGAATACCCATTTGCAGGATTGTACAGAAGCAGCATTAGGGAGGAATCCAGGCCACCCCACATTTTCTTCCCTATCATCCTTCCTGCAGGGTTTGTAGTTCCCCGTCAGGTATTCCTGCCTCTGCCCTTGCCCTCATTCAGCCCATAGGTGCTGGGCCAGGTGGGCTGTCTAGCTCTGCCTTCTTGCTTCCTCCTCTGAGTCTGGGTGGTGAAGGGAAAGGAGAGGCCTGGGTCCTCATCTGTCCCTTGCATGTCTCGGTTGGATACCACCCCAGCAAGGTCAGCTGCGTCGGGCAGTTGTGCCAGTGGCTTCTTTCCTCTAAGTTGTGATGCCGACCTATCTGGGAGTCATTTCCAGTCCCTGCTTCCCGTGGGGCTGGGGTCTAACTCTTGATGGTGGCTTGGAAAGGATATTTCCCAGCTTTGGGGTTTCTTTCCCTCACAGGGAAATGTGATCATAATCAACCCAGGATAGATGAAGTTATTGGGTTACCTTTCCAGACGCTGGCGGTCTGTTTCTCTTGCAGCCACCTCTGCAGGAGCTGACAGGAGTGTTGGAGGAGCAGGGCGTGTCCACCAGCACTAGAGGCCGGCGGCTTGAGAGTCACTGCTGAGCCCTGGCTGGGAGGGGCATCCAAGTGGGCCTGTGGATGGGTCCCGCCTCCTGGCTGGTTTTTCCAGCTCCCCCCAGCAGGGGGAGATGCTGTCTTCTCTGTGTGGGGGAAGGAGGGAATAAAGGAGGGGGCTAGGGATTGGGAACCTCACTTTAGGACTGTTGAGGGGCTTTGGAACTGGGACCACTGCTTGGGGATGTCTGCTTGAGGCCCTTTCTGCAGAGTGTTCCTGGGGTTCTGGGACTGGCTCTCCCAGTTATGGGGTTCTAGCTGCCCTGAGCCAGGGAGATAGCCAGCCTCCCCCCAGCTCTTCCTTTCTGAAGGGTCTAGCGTCTGCTGTTCCCAGAGCTTGGGCTGGCATCTGGGCTAGGGCTGGGGTGCCCAGTGCCTGGCAGAAGTCTGGAAACCACATGTCTTGGAACTCCGCAGAAGTAAAATGAAACTACGAATTGTAGCCAGAGCACGCGGGTGTCCACTTCCCTGTAGATACCCTGCAGAGAGCCCCAAGAAGGAAAGGTATGGGGTCCCGGGACAGGAGACAGAGGCGGGAAGGATGGAAATGGTTGGTCCCCAGGGTGTGCACCAGCCCCTGAGTGCCTCCCACCTTCTCCTCTCTTCCCTCGGCACTCGTCTCTTTCCCCAGAGCGCAGAGCAGCAGGCTGGGTAAGGGGCAGAGCTTGTAGTTCCTCTCAGTTCCTCTCCTCGTAAAGCTTTTTCTGTGTGGCAAGTCCTCACTGAGTATCACCAACAGGCTCAGCCTGTGGAAGGCAGAAGAAAACATGAGATGAGCCATCTCTGCCCGTCACGGGGAACATGTTAGCAAGAGAGACTTTCTGGTGAGGGGCAGCAGGTGGAGACTGCCAGTGATTTCCTTCTGGGGCCCACCACCCAGGGAGGTGGGAGCTGATCACTTCCCTCTGGCTTGGGCTGCCTGCCAGCCTTTGACCTTATTTACCTCTTTCGCAGCCTTGGAAGCACGGGTGGAGGCTGTTGATGGGACTGCCCGCTTCCCTGAGACCATTCCCTGATCTCTGCCTTTTCTTCAGGAAAAAGGGGTCTTGAGGATTGAGGCTTTCTTTCTTTTTCTGGAACTGATTGCTTCTGCATGTTCTCCTCAGTGGGGCTGAAAGGCTGACAGAATTTTCCTGCAGGTCAGGCTCTGCCCGACCAGGTTGGAGGAGCTGCCCAGGGGCCTGGGACCCAGGCCAGCTCTAGTTGTACCCTCTCCTCTGTGCTATTGCTCAGAAGAGCAGGCGAGAGTGAGGCCCACTGTGCAAGCCAGTCTGGGTGGCCGTGGGGTCATGGAGGAGGCGGCCAGGATCCTTCTCCCCAGTGTGGGAGGGAGATAAGCTGCACAACAACACCTGCCTGTCCAGCACCTCCCAGAACCCTCACACTTTCTCTCTTTCCCTTTCCCAGGAGGGAGGGCAGCTCCCCCCCACCAGCCCTGGTCTCTGGGTGACCAGAGAAACTGGGGCATGGGTGTGGGGTGGAGCCAGGAACCTCGGCGCCCTGCCTCCCAGCCTCAGGCTCTGCCTCCGTGCTCCCAGGGAAGGCAGGTAGTGAGAAAGTGGGTCAGTCCTGGCATGGGGCAGGGGTCTGGGAAGTGGACACCCGGCCTCCCTTCTCTCCCGAGATGCCTCCTGGCACACCTCTGTGCTCACTGCAGACTGGGGCCTGCTTCTCCCCTCCTTTTCCCTGCTGTGTCGTTCCAAAGGGATTGAAGGCTTAGAATGGAATGGCCAGAGGAGGCAGGGTCAACCCTGAGGGGAAGTAGAATATGCCAAAGTAGGTGGTCACATTTTTCCTGGACTTGGCTTCAAATGAGAGGGTTCAGCCAACACCTAGCCTGGGACCTGGCACATGGCGGCTCCCAGGCCTTGCCGATGGGCTTCAGCACGGCTGGGCTCGAAGGGTGGGAAAGAACAGGAGGGCGGGCAGTCCTGATGTATCTGGGGCTCAGGGAAGCTGGCATCTCACACTCCATTCAGGAAGCTCCTGGGCCAGGAGCTTTTTCACTGTGCACTAAGCAGACCCTGCTTTCTGCCCTTTGGTCAGGGTCCCCCCACCCCTGCAGCCATTGGGCTCAGGAAATGGAACCTGAAGCCAGCGTTAGGCTCTTTCCTTCTTCAGATTCAGAGAGCTAGGAGGTCAGAGTGCAGCCTTTGAGGGAGGGGTGGAGTGAGTCTGGGGAGGACAGTCCTGGGTCTAGGTGAAGCTCATGTACTCCATGCTTGGTGGGTGCTCCGTAAGGTTTATGGGATGATACATGGGAGCACTGGATGGGAGAGGATGGAAAAGAGAAATAAACTGCAAGGAGAGGGGCTAAAGCACGAAGGACTGAAGTTAGACATTAGGAGGACCTTGTACTACCTGAATCTCAGGAGAAAAAAAGACATTTGTCCCCATCCCAGACCTCTTCCCTCATTCCCTTGGAAGATTCTGGGAATTGCACTGAGGATTTTCTGGCCATGTCTGACACTTTGCGAGGCTGTTCCAAGCTCCCGGTTCTAGCCACCTCTGGGTGTCCATGTCATGGGTGCTCCTATCTTCCCGAAGCAGAAAAGCCTCTTTCCTTCGATGTCTGGGTGCTCCAGGTTCTGGGGGCCCTGCTTTTGAGACCTGGTAACTGATGATTTCCTGTTCTTTAGAACAGGGCTCTCCTGCCACACTCCTGTGCCTGGGGCAGGCAGAGAGAGCTGGGACAGGGCTAGCCAGCCCTTCTGGTTGCTCCTAGCGTGGGTGGGTGGAGCCCTAGGCTGGGAGGGGTTGCTACTCTCGATTTTCTGGGCTCCCTTGAATCTGCTACCCATCACCCTGCTGATGGAGACCTTCCCTTCCCTTCCTCTTGAGAGGGCCTTGTTGGCCAGGATGAGCTTGGGACAAAGGGTGGTAAACGAGATCCCCAGACATACCGTGAGGTGTCCACCAGCGCTAGGCCTCTGAGGGAGTACTGTTCCATTGTCTTTTTCTAGAATCTGCCCTGGCTTAGAAGCTGCAGCTCCAGACCCCTGTTTCTTTCCTGGTCCACCACTGGGTACCCCTTGGCAATATATATATCTTGCCAGTCTAGGGCCTGGCAAACCCTGCCTCTGCCTATAGGTGTGGTCCCTCCAATCCTCCTACTCCCAGTCTGAGGGCAGGGGACCCTTTTGCCATCCCTGACTGGTGGAAGCTGGCAGGGAAATTGGGCTCCAGGAGCCACAGCCACTGTGTCCTTGGTTGGCCAGCTCCTCCTGGGCTCCCAACAAGAGGGTGAGGTCATCCAGTCCAGAGAGAGGACAGGTGTCCCTGGCTCCATGCCTGGAGTGGGGGGCAAGGAGGGGGCTCCAAAATAGCAACTGTGACATCAGGAAGGGGGAGGGGGATGCAGACACAGGAATAACCAGGCTATTAAAAGGCTCTAGTGAGGTCAGGGGGCCAAGTGGGATCTCTGTACCAGTGGGAGCACAACCTGAGGAGAAGGGGCAGGCCAGTGGTGGGGAGGGCATGGGAGTGGCACCGGTCCTCACGGCACACCAGCCCCAGGACCCAGGGAGCAGAGTCTGTGCTGCCAAGCCTGAGGCTGGCTGGTGGGGAATGGCTGGATGCTGAAAGACTCCTGACTCTCCCTAGCTAGGCGCCAGGAGAGTCTCTTCCTACTTGAGCACAGGGTTTATTGTACCTGTTCATAGAAACCTTGGGAAATGGGAGGCAGTGTAGTGTGGTGGTTCAAGCTCAGACGTGAGTCTCAGACATCCCAGCCCTGCCATCTAAGCAGCTGTATGACCCAGGGTGAGTGACCATCTCCCTGTGCCTCAGTTTTCCCATCTGTACCTCTCTCCCAAGGTCACCATGCAGAATGAGATGATATATGTGATGTTCTTAGCACCATACCTGGCACATGGCTAGGGAGCAGCTACTTGTGCTGCGAGAATGGGCAGGTGTTCCCTGGTCCGCTTTCCCAGGCTTGGGGTGAGGAAAGGGGACAAGGGAACCCCTGTCTGCCCAGGAAGAATCTTCCTACCCGCTAGAAAGAAGCTGAGGCTGAGCAGCCTCTGGAGGCGACACTCCAGAATGAACGGGAGGGAGCTGCCATTTGGCAGGTGTTTGGGGGTCTCTCTACTGGTTGAAGGAATGAGGAGGCACGCCACTCCTCAGCTCTGTAGGAGGGCAGAAGTTAAGCAAACCTCCATGGGGCTGTTAGAACTCCAGGGAAGGTGCCTGTCTGCCAGCCTCTCCCAGACCCTTCCTATTCCTTTACCTGCTCTGGAAGGCAAGAGGGCAGACGGAGGCTTGAGTCTGGCTTCTTGGTCTCCATCCCCTGGCTTGCTTGCCAAAAGTAGCAGTCAGAGCCGCTCCCAGATGCATGGGTACCCCAGCCGGCACCCTTCCCCAGCCCAGCCTCTGGCCACCCAGCGCTGTGGCCTTGGCCCTGAGTCCAGCCCTCCCCCGTTCCCATCCCCCTCGCCTGGCGCTTCCTCCTGGGGTAGAACCGCCTCCCCCCCCCATGGGGCCTCCTGGCAGCCGGCCCACAGCTCCCTGAGCATGCTCCACCTATTTATAGACAGGGCCCTCCCCCAACTGCTATTTCAGTCTCCTGCCAGCTGCCGGCGGCGGCTCATTCGGGAAGGAGGAGCAGGGAGCCGGGCCCAGAGCTGTCACCCAGGATTGGGAGGGAACACAGAGAGCCCGCCTGCCCGCTGAGCTCCCCTTCCTGTCCCAAGTGCTCAGCCATACCCCAGCTCCCAGGAACCAAGGAAAGGCTGGTGGTCGAATGCCCCTCTAGAGCAGAGCTGGGCCTGTAGCTCTTGGGCCTCCCTGCCCCTCCTGCCGCCAGGAGTGCCCAGGCCGGATGAGGCACTTCCCCACAGTGCGGGTCCCATTGGCAGTGGCCTGAGGGAACCCCTGCTCAGTGCGGGCCACCTGACCACCTTTCCTTGGGCTGGCTTCCCGCCTCTGGCGGCCCCCTCCCTGGCATGCTGCTGGTGCCCAAGGCTCAGGGGCTCGTGGAGATGCTGCAGACCATCTATGAGACAGAATCCTGTTTCTCAGCAGATGGGATGTCAGGCCGGGAACCATCCTTGGAAATCCTGCCTCGGACTTCTGTGCACCGCATCCCTGTGACAGGTAAGTGCCTTGGCGTCCCTGCCTGCCCTCTGTCATCGGGTATCCTTGTCCCTGGGCTGAGCATCTGGCTCTGAGCCTTGCACAGATAGCGTCTTATGTAGATCTGTCTTGAGAGTTTCATTGAGAATACACAGGGCTGGGGCATCCCTGCTCAGAGAGGCCCCTGCCCTCCCTGCCCAGAGCCTGCTGCTCCCTTGTGCCCCGCAGCTGTACTCTGCTGCTTCACTTCAGTCACTTTGGTCTCTGGCAGGATCGGCATCTGCTGCTAGGGGCTGGGGGTTACTGGAGGATCCTGGCCTAGTTGGCACTGTGGTCAGAGGGGAGGAAGTGGGTCAGTGACCCGCCTCCTTGCTGCCCGCTCCCCAGGTTTGGGCAGGGGTAGAAGGCGTAGCTAGGTGTCCACAGAAATAAAGGTTACCCCGGCTCCTCTGGCTTGGTTCTTAGGGCTAGAGCATCAAATCCAGTAACTTCTGCCAAGTCCCTAGCCAGGAGTCTCCTGAGAATCAGACACTTGGGGAGGCTTGGTGCAGTTGTGATGGAGTTAGGCAGAGGCTGGCAGCTCGTATATTGAGGGGCTTGGCTGCCTTTGCCCCTAGCTGGCTCCCAATAGTGCTTTTCTCCCCAGGTCTGGGTTGATTCCCATGTCATGAGGATGAAGAGGTGTTACTCTGGCTCAGATGGGCTTAGGACCCCCTAATCCTGCCACCCTCTCAGCAGTAACCTTTTTTGGCTCTTGGCTAGGGGTGGGGTCCCCCAGAGCTGGGCCACTCCTTCCCTCACCCCTGGGAACCTGTTGGCAGCATCAAACCTTTCTGGCACAGCCTCCCCACCAGGCCGGCACCACAAGATGCTTCCTCCAGGGAGGAGCCTGCTGGACCCATGCCTGCTCGGCCCCTCCTGGTAGTGGCTTGGCACTCAAGTGTGGGTGTCTGTGTGTGTACGTGTGAATGGGGAGTCTTTGCCTATGGATATGTGGGTGTGCATCCCAAGCTTCAAATTGGAAGGTGGGAACTGTGTGCCTCTGCAGGTCCCTGTGATTTGGCTCTGAGCTGCCCAGGGATAAGGTTGCAGTGCGACTTGGATGTGTCAGAGAATGAATGTTTCAGGAGGATTCAGAAGATCTTTGGAACATGAATCCCTGGGCAGGGATACCCATGCAGTGTTCTCACGTAGGGGCATGGCCCTGGAGACTAGCCCTGCAGGGTATCCATGCAGGCCCCGCGGATAGGGGGATAGGGGCCTTACCCTGGGGCCAGCCCTGTAGGCTGGGGCTGGAATGGGGGTGTAACCTTGAGGACCAGCTAGCTCTACAGGGTACCCACGAAGTTCCCTGAGGTAGGGGCATATGCCTGGGAGCCACCTACACAGGCCCCTAGAATGAGGAATAAACCGAGAGGGCTGGTTCTTATCCTGGTCTGGAGTCCACAGGTCCAGCGAAAGACCCTGCCTGCTTGCCCCTCGTCCATGGCCTCTGGGACTTAAGGTGGTCTCTTGGAAGGCAGAATAATCACGGAGCATTTGCTTGAGGCAGCTCTACCCTGTGTGGCTTATCAGGTCCACCCATCCTGCCCTGTCCCCTCCGTTCCTTGCTACCAGCAGCAGCCAGCAGTTGGCCCGAAGTTTCCTCCTTGGCTTGTTTACTCACCTCCTTTCAGACTGTACCCCAGAAACCTCGAAGGCTGGGACCCTGCTCTCTCATCCCCTCCCTAAGCCTGGCTGCCCCTGCATGGACCCCCAGGCAGCCCCTCTCTCCAGATGCCTGTCTCCCCACTCCACCCCCCACACCGGCTGGTGGTGTGGGGGGTGGACCAAGGCTTCCGAGTGGTGGCTTGGTCCGTGTGCTGGCAGGAGGGAGGCGTGAGTCACCTCAGCGGCTCGGGGAGAGGGCTAAGAATGTTCCCCCTGCGCAGCTCTGATGCTGTGTCTGTGACGCGGCTAGGGACAGATATAGGCCTGGAGCTCGGCTGCCTTGTTTTTTTTTTTGGACTCTGGAATGTAAATAGATGTTTCAAATAGAAACACTTTAACCTTTGGGTTAAAAAAAATCCACCCCGGATAAACACGGCCATGAGGGCCCGGGCAGCCTGGTGTTTCCCTCCCCACCCCCTCTCCCCATCTCTTGATCGGTCTCCAGGCAGGATGCAAGAGCCTGTGGCTGAAAAAGCAGGTGTCCAGGGTTGCTTCTTTGGACAGTGTGAATTGCACAGGCCTCCCAAGCCTAACGGGTTGGGGCAAGGGGCTTTTGAGGGTACGCCTGCCTGCTACCTCCAGCAGCATCTTGGGAACCCTATTTTAGGGACAGCCTTTGTTTTCTGGGCTGTCTTGGTTGCTGCCATTGCACAGCACCTAGCACAGTGCCTGGCACATGGATGAATGAATATTGCATGGGGAAGGCTGGAGTCCAGGATTGCTGGCAGTTTTCCTGGGCTCTATTCTGGGGCTCAGACCTCTAGGTGAATAGAGATAGCTTTAGTGAGTCACCCAGCGGGTGAGACAGAGTCTTAACCTCCTGAAGGATGGGGCCACTTTGCTGTTCTTTCTTGAAGATGGGGCCGGATCTCAGCATCCGCTCTTGGTGATCAGACGTCTCCCTTGATGGGTGAGGTCTCTGCCAGGCCACCCTGCCACAGCCCCCCAATACACAGAGGGCATTACCAGCATCCAAGCTTAGTTCTGGTCTGGGGAGCCTGGAAGTTTGAACTCTAGTATGGGAGTCTCAGGGACACAGAGCTGGGGAATTCTCTGCTTTCCTTATGTGGGCCCTGGATTCCCCTTTGTCCTGTACTGGGTGGAGCTGATACCCAGACAATGTGCAAGACTTTATAAGAAGGCATGGAGGAGGAGTTGGCTTTTCCCGTGGAGGGAGGGTGTGAATCCTTCTTGTGCCAGGAAGGAATGCTGTGGACACTGGGAAGTGCCATGGGGTCCAGGTTTGGCCTTGGGGCTTTCCATGAATATTCTTGTTTATGTACTTCAGACTTTCCGGGTTTGGTTGTGTGTGTAGGTATGTAGGTGTAGGCATGCCAGGAAGGTAGAAAGGGCAAGACTCAGGGTGAGAGTGGAACTCTTATAATGCACTAAGTGACAAGGCTATCAGGTACTTTCTTTAACATCTCTCTCTCTCTCTCTTTTTTTTTTTCTGAAATGGAGTCTTGCTCTGTCGCCCAGGCTAGAGTGCAGTGGCGCGATCTCAGCTCACCATAACCTCCACCTTCTGGGTTCAAGTGATTTTCCTGCCTCAGCCTCCCAAGTAGCTGGGAATTACGGGCATGCGCCACCATGCCCAGCTAATTTTTGTATTTTTAGTAGAGACGGGGTTTCATTATGTTTGTCAGGCTGGTCTCAAACTCCTGACCTCGTGATCTGCCTGCCTCAGCCTCCCAAAGTGCTGAGAGTACAGGCATGAGCCATAGCTGTAGTTTACAATTGAGAGGTCTCAAGAGAGGTTAAGGGACCTGCTTAAGGGACTTTCTGCACATGGTGGTTCATACCTGTAATCCCAACACTTTGGCTGAGGCAGGAGGATCACTTTAGGCTAGGAGTTTGAGACCAGCCTGAGTAACATAGCCAGACCCTGTCTCTACAAAAAAATGTTAAAAAAAATTATCCAGGCATAGTGGCATGTAGCTGTAGTTCTAGCTACTCAGGAGGCTGAGGCAGGAGGATTGCTTGAGCCCAGGAATTTGAAGCTACAGTGAGACATGATCTCTGCCCTCCAGCCTGGGCGCTATAACAAGGCCCTCTCTCTTAAAAAAGGGAACCTGCCCAAGGTCACACATTAAGTAAGAGCTGGAATTTGAACTCAGGTCTCTGGTTCCTACTCAGGTAGGGAAATTGCTAATGCATATAAAAGCTTCTTTTGTGCAGATTTTTTAAAAGTGGCTCTTCTTCTGGGTAGATGCATCCTTATGCCAGTGTGTGTGGCCTGGCGATTGGAGCTTGGGCGAGATTTCAGCCCCAACTCACTCTTTTAGCTGACAGCCCATGTGCAGGATGCAACCTACACAGCCCTATGTGCTGGACCTGTCAGTGCAGTGTCCACAGTTTGTGCTCCTAGAGCACAGGAACCATTCTGGCTTCAGGGGCCTGGTGGGGTTCTGAGAGGAGGCTTTATTTTCTGTAAATACTAAGGACCATTTGGTCAGTTATCTTCCTCCCTGAGGGGACTTTAGCCCAAGGACAGGAGAGGGCTCAGGAACAAAGTTGAATACCAGCCCCCATACAGCCTCCTCTGCTCCCCTCCCCCACCTTATCCCCTCTTCTTGTTTTTGAGACCCTCAGCTCTCCCTTCCCTGCCACACAGCTGCCAGACAGGAAATCAGATTAACTGTGTCCAGACACACAGCTGTAACAGCTGTCAGGTTGGCAGCAGAAATGAGTGCAGGCAGCCTGGGGACACTGTGAGGCAGTGGTTCTCCAACTTTTGGTTGCATCAGAATTACCAAGGGAAGGTATTAAAATGCAGATTCTCAGGCCTTGACACCCCGTCCTCACCACAAAGGTTTGGATTCTCTAGGGCAGCCCAGGAACCAATGATTTTAACTCATGTCTCACGTTATTCTGATGTGAATAGACTCAGACCATGCTTTGAGTGAGGGATGAGTGGACAGGGGTTGCAGGGCCCAGCAGTCGGCCAGTGGGTCATCAGCATCCATGGAAGGCCTTGGTGGGTCTTGGGACTCCTGGGAGAAGGGCCTATGCAGGAGGAGGGAGGCCGTCACCCCAGAGAGAAGTGAACCCAACTCCCAGCTGCCTGTCAGTCGGGAGAGAGGATGTCTCCAGCAGCCAGGGAGCAGGTGTCTAAACCTCAGCGGAATGGGGGATTATGGCAAACAGCCAGGTGGGCAGGGCACCCTGCTGGACACCCAGGGCTGTGATGTGCTTGGCAATGGAGGCAGATCTGCTCTGGAGCCCCTGGCATTCCACCCCAGGTGTGGAGCAAACAGTCCTAGTAACAGCTGCAGACTTTGAATGGTTAGTCTACCTTTTACTTGCCGGTA